CCCCAAAGCCAAGCCTGGGGAAGAAGCCTCGGAGGGGGAGGGATAGAGGATTTTAGTTCAGTTACTCCCAATGGTGGCACAGCTGTGTGCATATGACGCCATTGGGGACAACGTGGGCTTGCTGTCTGCGGATGGTCAAATCCACGGATGGCAAATCCATGGATACCAAGGTCCCATGGTACAGTGAGTGAATTCAGCTGTAGATCCAAGCCTGGTACTTAATGGCAGTTCCAATCAGTTCCAATACTAGTTCTGAGATAATTACACCTCGCCCCCAATCTAAAAAGAGATGGCAAGTGCCGCTCCTTTTTAGAGCAGCAAAAAGCTGCCCTTGTCTCCACGGTGGCGGCTTTTTGGTGCTCCTGTGGTGCATGTATGAATGCTGCACCAAGGGAGCACTCTGATGGCGTACGCTGTCTGTTTGGGTGGGCGGAGCGACAGCAGCATTAGGGCAGAGTTGGGGCAGCTGGTGTGCAGTCACCACACCCTGACTCCACCTCTAGGCCAGCCCTTTGACCGGTCTGTATAGCCCCTAAGTAAGAATATTTAAAACTTAGGGGTGTAACTTTTAAACTAAAAGTCTGAAAATAACAATTAGATCAGACTAACTGTGAAAAAGGTCACTTATCAAGTGGCTAGTGGGAAAGAATGCAGTTCTAAATTCAATCTGTTCATAGATGCTGGCAATTAAAAGATGCTATCTTTAAAATACAGGGATTGTTTTTTTAGAAATAAAAGGAAATATTTTGCTTAAATAACAAGATCTGATGACCAGAAATAACTGTACCTTGCTGCCCCCATGCAAGCTTCTTTCCAGACTTTAGACAGGCTGATGTCCCAAATGGGTTGCCAGTAAGGCAAGCCCTTATCCACGACTCTAGTTTGGGGAAAGAGAAGGCTTTGGAGATCTTTGAGTAGCCAGTCTTAGCATGTAATGGCTGCCATAGTGCCAGCTCATGCAAACTGTGAACAGTCCTATTTTTATTCACACACCCCTCAATAAGGAAGCCAAGTGCTCGAACAGCATCAGGAGATACCAGACTATTGTGGGTAGAGTGAGAGGAGGCAGTGAGCTGATCTGGGTCCAGCAACAATTCCAGAAGATCCTGGAGATGGTTTTGGACAAACTCTTGGTGGTAGCTGTCATTCCAATTCTTGTACCAAAAACAACAAAATACAGAAAAATTATCCATGGGAAGGATGTTCACAAAACCCAAATACCAATCTATTAAACTTATCCATAAGTCAATGGATCCAAGTGAAAATATAGAGTCTCTTTCCATCCAGTTTTTGTTCACTTGAGACACTCTGCTAACAAGCATCCATATAAAAGGAACAGAAAGCAGCCAACCAGTTTCCCTACATCAGATTTAGGAATCACGAAACCCCCAAAGGCTTTTGTATGGCTCATGAGCTGCTCCCTCTGAAAAAAATGACCAGCCAAAAAAGGAGAATCGCCACTCATAGAAGCTCCCTTTCAGTTCAAAGTTAAAAAAAGCATTTTTACAAATCTGGAAATGAATTCCTTGCCACTTTCAGGTGTGTTTTGAAAGACTGGTGAGTCCCATGGTCTATCCTGGGCAGGAAAACAGCCTTCAAGAGCTTGCCTAACTCTGCCCTACCTCCTCATGGGAAAGGAAGGTTTTTTTAAAACTAGGACATAAAATTTGCATTATTAGAATATGAAATGATATTAACACTTTGCACATATGAAAAGTTGTAAAAATATAATGAAAACAAAGTAATTTGATATGAAGCTTTATTAAGGGTTTATCGGTTTACAGAACAGAACCAGTGTGGTGTAGTGGTTCGAGTGTTGGAATATGACTATGGAGACCAGGGTTCAAATCCCTGCTCAGCTATGGAAACCCAAAGGGCAGTCACACTCTCTCAGCCTCAGAGGTGGTGAAGGCAAACCACCTGTGATAGGTTCACTTTAGTGTTGCCCTAAGCCAGAAACAACTTGAAGATACACAGCAACAATAACAACCACAACAAGGCAATAGTGGCCCTTCAGATACTGCACTGCAACTCCCAGAAATCTTTACCATTGACAAGGCTGGCTAAAGAGATGACAGCTGTAGTCTAACAATATCTGCAAAGCCACAGTTGCCCACCAATGACATTATCTTTTTGACATGCGCCTTACACTGAGGGAGATTGTACATGCATATGCACATGTTCAGACATAGACAAACATAATACCTACCAACTTGTATGTTTTCTGTCAAGCACACAAAGTGAAGCTGAATTTTATGAATTTTTCCCCACAAGCCAGCCTGGTGCAATGATTTTCATATGAAGCAAAGCTTGGTTCTTTCAATTTAAAGTTTCAATACACTAAAGCAGATTCAGCAATTTCCTGGCCTTCCAGATGTTGTTGAACTGTGAACTCTAGCATTCCTCACCATTCACTATGATAGTAAGGGCTGGTAATTTACAGTCCAACAACATCTGGGGGACTGCACAGCTCCTATCCTAAAGGTAATAATGGATGCCAATGAGTGGAGACTTCCACTATCACTGATGGGGGGGGGGTGGCGGGGCGGAGGCTTTTGGGCTCAGCTCTGAAAAAAGCCTCCTTCCCATGTTCTTACCAACCCCAATCTGTATCTCTTTAGAACCAAGTATCTCTTTAGAACCAAGCTTCCATAAAAATCAGCTGAGTTACAGGGAAAGATAGTGGAGAATGCAGATTAAATAACAGAAGTTGCATACAACTCATGGTCTCTAGGTTGTTCACCCATTGTTGTGTGCCTTCAAATCATTTCCCACTTATAGTAACTTGAAGATGAACCTATCATAGGGGTTTCTTGACAAAATTTGTTTAGATGTGATTTGTCTTGGCCTTCCGCTGAGAGTGTGATTTGCCCAAGGTCACCCAGTTAGTTTTCACTGCTGAGTGGGGATTTGAAACCTGGTCTTCCAGAGTCCTAGTCCAAGGTTCAACCTACTACGCCACACTGGCTTTCCTGTGTACACATACACAAGACTAAAATCAGACCCAAAAAAAAAAACAAGCAACATGTGCTGGATGGCAGCATAGCTGCAAAACTATGCTACACCTCAATCAGATCATTATCTTTATATGGTTTGCTTCACATGCCAACAAAAACGTAGACTATACTTTTTAAAAATAATTCTACAGATGTTTAGAAGAGGCATAATACCACTTTACTTAAAGTCACTACAGTGAATTTTAGAAGGGAGCAAATATTCCATTGAACTAAAACAATGATGGGGGTTGACTTTAAGAGTTACCTTGAAGAACAATTATTTTACAACATACAATGTTAAACTGATGTTGAATGAAATTGAGAAGTCCAACATATTTCTATAAGCTACTTTCTACTTATTCCAAGCTCTCATCTTGAAACAAATATCTGAAGATGGTTCCTGTGGTGGTTAAAAATTCTTAGAAAAAGAAACAATTCAAAGAGCAGTTCAAACCTTAATTTGATTGTTGGATTCTCCAGTTAGACTATAAGACCTAGATCTAGGATTTGGCCACTCTTCTCCAAGCAGAGATGTCCTCAGGGAAACCTTGTTTAGTTGCTGGATATAAAGGAACAGCAGGAATTGAAGAGTATCCACAGATAACTAAGAAGAGACACAAAAAAATTAACAACATTTTCAAAAGTTCACTTAAAAGCCACATTATTCCACTGGGATAGATATTTTATATTCAGCACCAAGTCAATGCAGTGAAACAGAGAAAAGAGACAGACTATGGGTGTGTAGGGTTGTGTGTTTTAAAGCAATAGTACACTTCAGTACATAACATGAATGACAAACTATGGCCAATAAAATTGCAACAGAGTCCACACTCAGATCTTACAGTATTATAAGTCACAGTATCACTACTTCATGCCTTATTCCTTTGCTTCTCTGCCTCCTCTTCTGTTGCACAGCTGGATATCATCTCTGCCCACTCCAGTCGTTCCTCCGTGGTCCTTTCAACAAGACTGTCAAATAATTCGAAGTAAAGCCAAGCCAGATCTTTCTCCAACTGCAGCTTTCCACAAGCAATGTGTCTCCACATAGGCCACAAGAGGTATGGATAATAGCCTTCACTAGAACGTATCCGGACATACGTTGACATCTTACGGAGATAATGCATGCTAAACTTCGATGGAGGTGGAATTTGCAATGCTCCCACTATGAAAGGTTCCATCTTCACCCACAGATTGACTGTGGGTTGATCCATTTTAGCACACCACAGGACCTTCACATCTGTATTTTTAAGAAAAAATAAAAATAAGTTGCAAACCACTAGGCAGATAATATATTGTGTGATGAATTGATATGGTTACTTTCTTCCACCCATCTTGTCTCCCTGATTACCTTTATCTTAGATTTAAATACTCCCCTCTGACATCTCTTTCTTTGATTCTTTCTTATAAATACATATGTTCCCCATCTCTTGCCAAGATCTTCAAGATCTACTCCGACTGCAAGCCACTGTACATTCATTCGTTCAACCATTCTTATCCCACAAGTGGAATAACTCTGCTCCATTAAACAGGTAATCCCTATTAATAACTGTGATCTAGAACATTAAAGAAAGATTTCCAATTCAGAGAAGCTTCAGACTATTATTATATTCCCTCCATGTGAAATGTGCATATAATTAATGGAAAACAGTAACCACCACTCTATGGCTCAGAAACAGTTTTGGATGGATTGAACTAGAATCCTGTAACTACCTGTTTTATTTTTTGTTTGTTTGCTTTAACCACTAGAAAAGCAAAGAATTTCTTCTATTTAGAAAGATCTTATGCTGACTTCATTTCATAGATGTACTGAACTATTCAGTATCTTTTAAATAAAATATTTTCAATATTAATACTATGCCCAAACTTAGACTCTTAAGCCCACACAAATTAAAAATGCTTTGATATGCTTACATAGCTTATTATTATCAGAGTTCTTTTACAGATCATTTGTTACATTCATGAATGGCCTTAATACATTAAACTATTGTGTATTGTTTTTAATAGCTATCAGAAAGCAGATGAGGTTGTAAAATACTGGGATCTGGAATAACTATTCCATTCCTTCCTAACAGCCAAGCCTTTCAATTCCTTCCAACTTTGCTTAACGATCTGGGGCCAGGAAACTATCAAATGCTCTTAGCATGGGTTTGGCGCTTGAAACGCTGCTATCCTTGGGACCCTCCCCTATCCTGCAGTTACTGAGTTTGGTCAGCTGTCTCTTTCATATGACACCTGGCCCCCACTCCTGGAGCTCTTTGAAACTTCATGTTATTGTGTGACTTCAAGTCATTTCTGACTTGCGGGATTTTCATGGGGTTTTCTTGGCAAGATTTGTTCAGAGGAGGTTTACCATTGCCTTTGCCTGAGGCTGAGAGCATGTGGGTTTCCATGACCGAGCTGGGAATCGAACCCTGGTTTCCAGAGTCCAACACTCAAACCACCATCCCATGTTTCTCTAGGACACATTAATTTAGCTTTTTAGTAATCAACGGTGTCCACAGATCTCTTCTCCAGTGCCACACTTCAAATGAGTGAATTTTCTTCCTACCAGTTTTCTTCACTATCCAGCTTTCACAACCATACATAGAAACATGGTGGATTTAATGGCCAAGCTGGAAATTGAGAGTTGTAATCCAACTTTCAAACCACTAGACCATGCTGGCTGTCCCTCAAACAACATCATTGTTGTTACATGCCCTCAAGTCGTCCCTGATTCATAGCAACACTGTGGATGAGACATCTCCAAGATGTCCTGTTTTCCACTGCTCTGATCGGATCCTGAAAATTAATGCCTGTGACCTCCCTGATTGAGCCTATCCATCTGGTCTGTGGTCTTCCTCTCTTTCTTCTACCCTCTGCCTTTCCTAGCGTTATTGTTTTTTCTAGTGAACTGTGCCTTCTCATTATGTGGCCAAAGTACAATAGTCTCAACTTGATCATCTTTGGTCCTTTGCAGACTGCTACAAATAGTGCAAATTGAGTCCACTTTAACTGTCCTGGCTCACTGCTAGGGAATCATGGGAATTGTATTTTTTTCTGAGACATTGAGCCTTCTCTGTCAGAGAGCTCTGGTGCCACAATAAACTACAGTTCCCATGATTCCTTAGCACTGAGTCAGGGCAGTTAAAGTGTACTCAATTTGCACTATTTCTGGCAGTCTGCAAAGGCCCTTTGCTTCCAAGGAGAGCCCTGGTCTGATCTGTTCAAGAATGCATTTGTTTCTCTTCTTGGCTGTCATTTGTTTGCCTTTAAACCAAGGAGGTTTCAAGCTTTATCTGCCGGAACTACATTGCTCTACAGCGCTATTATCCTACAACATTAGTATTTCCCTTTTAACTGTCATGTTTCCAGCCTATGGAATGCTGGGATTTGCAGTTTAAGGAGAGATACTTAAGATTTATCAGCCTAGGAGCTCTAGTGCCTCCCCAAACTACAAATCCAAGGATCCCCCAGGAATGCAGCCATAGTATTGAACACTAAATCCTTGTCTGCTGTCTGTTCCTGGTTGCCTTCCAGAAGCTTGTCCCTTTCAGACTCAAGTTCCTTTTAAGGTCTCCACTTGGCAGATGGGGACAGAAGGGAGGACTTTCCCAACCTCACCCCTCCCAAAAAAAGAAAAATTGGCCAGAAAGGTTCACCTAGGCTGCATCCACACTACAGAAATAATCCACTTTGACACCGCTATTCAACGCTCTTGTTGCTCACGTGGTTTCTACCACTTTCAATCACAGTTCTGGGAGAAAGGCAGGATATAAAATAATTAAGTAACCAAGGCTGCATCCGCATTGCAGATATGGTCCAGTTTGAGATCGCTTTAACTGCCACAGCTCAATACTATGGAATCCTGGGATTTATAGTTTGTTGTG